AATCTCCCCAAAACAAAACAAAAATTGCAGGGTGGGCAGACAGGCATATTTCATCTACCAAGCATTTTACAAACATTAAGTCATTCACAACTTTGTGAGATCGGCAAATTACAGATGGGAAAACTGAGGCACAGTGAGAGGTCAAGTGACTTGCCCAAGGCCAAAGTCCAAGTTTTGGGGATTCCTGATTTCTAATCCCAGCTTTGACTCCTAGTCCTGGGCACAGACCAGGTCTTATTGCACTAGTATAAGATCTGAAAATCCAGTTTTAACATCATTCTTTATATCGTGTAAGCTGCAATATTTGGCTTCTGATCAGCTCAAACTACCGTATTAATTTTGAGGTTAACATAGTACCAGTTCACTTTCAGTTTTGTGTATTAAATATCAGAACCCTGCCACCCAACAAGTTAAGAGCTGTTGCTCATGTCTTACCCAAGAGTTCCGAAACTTAGCAAATTAGTGAATAATTCCAAAACTAACTGCCCCAGTCCTCTCACCCAGTCCTGTTCACTAAAATTCCTCATGGACTCTTGAATGGAAAAATTGGAAGTTTCTAGGGAAACTATAGTTTTGCAATAACATGACAATGGTCTTTTGGAAGATTTTTTCAAAGATAAGTTGCAAAAACAGTTTGTCCAAATTACTTTAGTTTCTATACAAGTTTTCCTCTACAAAATAGATGACCACTACTTCAGATAGAGCGAAGTTTGAGAGAAATTTAGAAGGTTCGTAGGGTAGGAAGAGACAAGAATCAGCTTTGCAGCAGCAACCTAGTGGCAATGTTGGAAAGAGTACCATCTTGCCATAAATCCAGTTGACACTGAGTAGAAATTGCGGTAGTTGGAATGTAATTATCCAAACATAGCACTGTAATAAAAAACTTTGCTTTAACTTTGTCTTCCAAGTTCATACCCACAAACACAAGAAGCCTGTCAGGCAGCCAAACTAACTTACTTTGTGTTCCTCAAGTTCCTGAAGATCTCCTTGATCACCTGCTTTTCCTTCTGAAGACAAATACAGATACAAGCAGAGTACACAGGATCCCAATAAAATCCAGCTGTCTGTATGCTACATACTACTTCTGTAGTTCTGATCCAATTTAGACAGGGGATGGCATCAATCAAGAACCTGTATCAAATCCAAAATACCCCTTAGGTTAAACTTTTAAAAACCAAATCTTTAAGACTGGAGACACCATAACCAAAAGGATGCTGCTTACAAGCCATCCAGAAGAGAGCCGGGATCAAGTCAACAATTAGGAAGTCAGGGATTCAGCTAGACCTGAAAAGTCTTGCATGGAATCACAACAGGGAGTTTTGAGCTCTGCAGCTCAAAAGATTAGTTCTGAGTGAGGTGGCAGAGTCATGGAGGCCTCTAGTGGTCAGGTTTGGGAAGCAGCACTAAAGAACACAACAAGAAGGTCAAAAGGAGAGTCTGGTATGTGGCAGCAGAACTGTGAGCTGGGAGGAAAGCCAGGCTACTGGAAGGATGGGAAGAGGAACCAGGAGTTTGGCTCAGGGCCATAGCAACTGTGGACTGAGGAGTTCCTGAAGATCAACCTGTTGTGCTTTTTCTGGGACAGCATGACACACAGTACATTTTCTGAAGAGCACAACAGCAATGTACAGCAAAGCACACAGAATTCTATGTCTGGAAATGCACTGGCCCATATCCACTAAATTAATTTGAATGCTGTCAATAATAAGTATACTTTACAACAGTATTTTAAAGTGAACAAAAAATCAGAAAAACGCTTGTTACCCTATCAGAAGTTCAAGAATCCCAGACATCAGTGCTCAAGCAACAATCTTCTTACTATATTGTGGGGTTTGTACTAACACTCTGCAGTTTGCAAAAAGAAAAAAGGAGTACTTGTGGCACCTTAGAGACTAACAAATTTATTTGAGCATAAGCTTTCGTGAGCTACAGCTCACTTCATCAGATGCATTAAGATGAGCCAACAGGGATGCCAAAGATCTTGAAACTGAATTGATAAGCGTTGCTATGTCTAAAAAGAAAAGGAGTACTTGTGGCACCTTAGAGACTAACCAATTTATTTGAGCATGAGCTTTCGTGAGCTACAGCTCACTTCATCAGATGCATTAAGATGAGCCAACAGGGATGCCAAAGATCTTGAAACTGAATTGATAAGCGTTGCTATGTCTAAAAAGAAAAGGAGTACTTGTGGCACCTTAGAGACTAACCAATTTATTTGAGCATGAGCTTTCGTGAGCTACAGCTCACTTGAGCTGTAGCTCACGAAAGCTCATGCTCAAATAAATTGGTTAGTCTCTAAGGTGCCACAAGTACTCCTTTTCTTTTTGCGAATACAGACTAACACGGCTGTTCCTCTGAAACCTGTCGCTATGTCTAAATTCAGTCCTGAATTTGGACAGTTTGTTTTGTGCAATCCAGAACAAACTACTGCAGTGAAACACCCATGAAAGACAGTTCATAGCCATTAGCCATTAGTTGTCTTACTGAAAACATTTTTCCTTCTGAACTAAGTCCCAGATGCGATACATTGATCAGAAACTTGTGACTGTAGATTTCAAAAGTAGTTTTGATTTAAAAACAGTTAGTCACTCATGACTCAGTTACTATAAGCCCATTGGATCTTTTACCTGGAAGAGTATATTTTATGTAACTCAACTGAACAAGTAAAAACCACAGAGTGATCGTATTTTGGAAGTGGAGGACCCCCATTCCTCTGCTTTCTTTTGAGGGATAGGATCAAGACTTTGATTTGAGATTACAATCTTCCACTGACTTATTTTTGGTTAACACAGAGGTGGAAAAATAACAATGTGAATTTAGAAAAATAGAATTATGAACTGATATACACATTAAAGCGTGTCAAGCAATGAGTCCAAAGCTTGCGTGAAATAGTCTTGATTGTGAGAGAACGCCTTGGAAAAGGACTTGCAAACTCAGGCCCATTGGAAGTGTAATCACAAAGGGCAGCAAAATCATTAAAACCATTTGGGATTAAAATTAGTCTCAGAAACAAAGCACATTTAAGTTTTAGCTGTTTGCCTACAAGTCAAGCCTCTAGCATGTCTACAAATCAAGAAGGCAACTGGATAATTCAATTTTTGTTCATTTCCTAAATTATTTCATCCTCAGATGTCAAATAATTTTTCACATTGTTTTTAAAATCCATACCATTGCACCAATAGTTAAGTAGCTAAAGTAATAAAATCAAGATTCATTGAGGAATTCTTGTACAGATTCAGTAAAATGAGTAATTGAGTATTTTCCTCTCCTGTTGTATGATTCTTATTCATGGTTGTGTTTATGAGCATTAGAAAGTAACAAGGATAATTTATTTCTCTTTTTCTACCTTTGTGGAAATATATAGTTAACTATTTTTATGCTGGTCAGAGCAGTTTTTGAATGTTAAACTTGTATTGAGATATGTAACACTCAATAAAAGAGAGTCAAGATTCTGTTTCTGCTGTTTTTCTGCCATTTACATCCTATTGGAAAAATTCATCCCAGTGCAGAGAGTCACAACAAGGCTTCCCACACCATCTGACCCTCACAGTAAGGGATTAAAGTGTGGTAGGCTTTGGATAAATCCTGTTTTGGGGATGAAGTTTATCCCCATACAAGTAGTTGACCTGTGCAAAAATAATATGATCTCTCCGGCAGCATCAAACGGTCCAAGTTGGTTCATGCATTTAAAAGTGTTAATTTTTATGCTCAAAGTACTTTAACTGCACCACTGAGATTCATGCTCGAAGAGCAAGTTTAAAAAAAAAAGTTGCATTTGTGCTCTTTCAGATTTTCATTCTGATTCCAGAATGTTGTAAGAGCACAGGTCAGCTTCTGAAACATCTTTTGACTAATCTGTATTTAAGAATGGCTGTTCCATTGCATTTGAGAAGTTGTTCTCTGGGTCTATTGGTCCTTCAGTGCATACAATTCCCTACGCTGGTACACTCCTATGTAAAAAGTCCCAAAGTGGAATTTGTTATGTAGCCACAACCTTAATCATAGTAAAACTAGCTGGCAAGATTCTAATACAAGTCAGACCTTTAAGATGATTCTAACTGGGTCATCTGCAGTAGATGTTAAATGTGTTCCAACAACTAGACACTTTTCTGTTGTCTTTAGGGGCCTCCAAACACACTCAACTTCTCTTTGGGAACTTCAGGTATGGCATCTGAAGCTGACATCTGGAATAAAGTCACAACGGTAAATGCTTTCTTTCTGGAAAGGATAGCTCACTATACCACTGTGATGTTCAACTATCATTGGCTGCTTGTAGAACAGTGGTTCTCAAATTTTTTTTTTTTTTTTACTGGTGACCCCTTTCACACAGCACGCCTCTGAGTGCAACCCCCCCTTGTACATTAAAAACACTTCTTTTTATATTTAACACTATTATAAATGCTGGAGGTGATGTGGGGTTTGGGATGGAGGGTTACAGCTTGTGACCCCCCATGTAATAACCTCTTGACCCCCTGAGGGGTCACGACCCCCAGTTTGAGAACCCCTGCTGTAGAAGATGAACAGCAGCATTCTGATCATAGTCCTACCCTCCAGACCAGCAAGCAGTGCTACGTAGAAGACAAGTCAAATATCCAGACTACTTGCAGGTATCTCTGGGTTTGTAGATATGCTTGGATACCAGAAGTAATAGGTCTGGCACAGAATTAACACTGAAAACTATATGTGCAGTTAAATTACTGGATTATACATAGCTATGACAACATCAAAACTATTTTGCAAAGAGGGAAAAATTGCTCATGCTATCTATAAAAATAGGTTATAGAAATATAAAGGACCCCATCAGAAGGGCAGGACATTTATCCGTTTTGTAACATACCCAATACTATTAAACACTTGGACCTCTAAAAGTGCTTTAATGCTATGAAAAGCGCTTTAATGCTAATCTTGTTCCTGCACAGCTCACGTTTAGTCAGTATAGGTTACTGGCACAGATCCTTCACCCTGAGGGCACAGCTTGCAGAGAGCTCAACACAGAGTAGTGCAAAACAATACATTTTTATTTGTTCACAGTTAAACACAAGCAACTGCCTTGACATTTTAGAACATTCTAATAAGGACAGCAAAACCTCCTTTTGGTTTAAAGTTCTCTTTAGCTTAGATTGTACCATTTTTCCTTGTATTTCATATTTATGGCATTTAATGTGGATTGTTTAACATGCTTATAAAGAGCGAGGCAGGGAACAGATTAACTTTTGACAAAGACAGTGTTTTTAGATTTAACTAAAAGCAGTCAGTTAAAAAATATCTGTCTCCACTTCACTGATGGGATCCCTTTAAACAAAATGCAAGTTACTACATAAAGTAGATCCATAATTTTAGAGATTTACAAAAACAATGGCAAAATTTGTTCCTCCATAATCTTTGTGGTCCATAGATAAACCTTCTAAAGTGGTTTCTGATTCCATCCCAGTGCTAACATCCTTTTAAAAGAGAAAAGGTCACCTACTGATGAGCTCTGATTAGCTCCAGAGCATTTTTGCTACTAACAACAACAAAAGACCCTCCACTAAAAGAAGTGAGTCACCATGTGGCAGGATAGTCTGTTGGGAATTGCCAAACTGTAGGGATGTTCTAACTGATTCCTGTGACAGAACCGTACCCAATAGCTGAGCTAGCCCTTTTAGGGGCAATGTGCAAACTGTTTACTTCTGGGTGAGTGGGATATGAAGCCTTTGAGTCTTCACTCATTTACTATTGCAACTACCACCAAGTCTTAGAAAACCTACAGACGTGTCAACGAAACCAGTCAATGTCATTTGTTAAGTGACACTATTTCCTATTCTGTGCAGGTTCAAGCTTTGAAAAAAAACCACTGAAGTTCACCTTTACTTTCAGAGTCAGGACTGGCTGAAAGGCAGAAATGTATACAGACCATAGGTGTTATGGGAGAGGTGGAATGGAAGGGAAGGTATTGTCTGGTTGGGCAATGAGGGTGGGGGGGTGGTGAGAAGACTGGAAATCACAGAAGCTCTGTTTGTCAGGTTAGCAGAATGCCAGCCTGCTTTGATCAGTTCTATCCCTATTTAGATTAGGTCAAGCTAGAAAAACAGAGTACAAGTGTAGTTACCTTTCAGAAAATTCTCACCACCACCCATGTAGACTGTTTAAGGAAAAAAAAGACTACATCTGTAAAAGTAGGAACAAAATGAATACTGTTGCAGCTTGGCTCTCAAGCTGAAAAGGTCATATTACAGACTAAGTAATCCTGGACCCAGACATATCAGAGTCTCACAAAAATGAACTTCTCTCTCTTTCCTAATAATGGATCTCTGTTCTGACAAGAAGGAAACCAGAGTTTGATGACTGACATAAATCCTGATCCCAAAGTCCTTCAGCATGCAAGGCTCCCCATTGACTTCAATGGGAATAATAAAGATGGGAAGGCTGCAGGATTGGGTCCTGTATATAATTTTGAGCTATATACACTGGCCCAACAGCAAGCTCAGTTGCTTGGGAAATTGGAGTGGAGGGGGAAGGAGAGAGAAAAGGAGAAAACTAGGTAGCCACAAATTGGACTGCCATGACCTCTGTATCCAAGAGAGCAATAGCACTGTGGGGAGGACTTCCTTTGGGAGTCTATCCAATTATTCTTGAATCAAGCCTCGAATCTTATAACCTACTCCTGGGAAGAAGAATGTTTGAGATTTTTCAACCCAGAATGAGGCTGTCTTGGTCAGCCTGGACAAAGACCACAATGAAAAGAGTCCAGGCATCACAATGGTCTCCCAGCCTAGAGAAACATTTGCAGAATCTTCTTCAAAATGCTCACTTGGAAGTTTTGGTGAACCCACTACTTTACACAAAATCTCTACATACTGTCCTTGTCTGGATCTTCCTGCACTCAGTATTCAGTTCTCATCACCTCTACTCATGCAACAATTTAAGGTCAGACAAGTACCAGTTTGTCAAACAAACAATGAACATCCTCCTTACCCACCCAAGGAAAAAAATCAGAAGAAATAGTGTTTTAACGAGACCTCAGCAAATAGTTTGGAGTTCCTTGGGGTGGGACAACATTTGTTCACATGTAATTTTCCAGGAAATGTTAAGGACAAAAGAAACAATGATTATGAATTGGGGTGAATGCAACATCAGTTTGCAGATATGTGTTGTTCTTTAACCATTTAGTCACTTGACCATAGTCCAATCTAATAAAGACTAAAGTTGGGGGAAAACAAAGAGGCAAAATAAAGACCTTCAGATGAATGCACTAGAAACTCTGGTTTTGCTTCTTTACAGAACATAATAACCAAAGTCACCTGCAAGGGCAACACAATTAACTGTTCTAAATTGGAAGCTTGCTGAGATATTTCAGCTAAGCAAAGCACTAAGCATTCATAGGTAAAAATAAAAGGAGGACTTGTGGCACCTTATTGACTAACAAATTTATTTGAGCATAAGCTTTCGTGAATGATCTGTAGCTCATGAAAGCTTATGCTCAAATAAATTTGTTAGTCTCTAAGGTGCCATTCATAGGTAGATTCACAAAAGTTAATTTGGCCTCATATTGCACTCAAGTTCATAGGATGCAACCACTCATTGGGAAGGGGAGAAGGGAAAAAATACTTATAAATGCTAACAGTTGCCCCTTCAAATTAGTACACACTACTACTGATGGGATTTGAGAGAGGAGAAGCAAAAGAAAGTTAGGTTGGGCATTACCGTTCCAGACCCTAAATCCGTTTTGCATTCATTCAGCAGTCATCTTCTGCAAAAAAAACATCAGTCCTGTTTCCACTCCACGAGCTAGCTGCTCATACCAATGAAACATAAAAGCTTTTAATTAAACTTGCATTCACGCCTCCTGTTCTATGCCAAGAATATGAAAATAACACTGATTGACTATCTTCCTTTTTAACTGTGGTCATGATGAGTTTCATTGTAGTCCATGATATGAAGCTGTCCAACACTGCTTTCCTGGTTCATGGGCGAGGGACTGGGGTTGTCAGGGCTTGAAGGAGCCTTTGCCTCCACCATGCTTGGATCTTTACACAGTTCACTCTTTAGAGTGTCAGAAAGACTGTTGATGGTCATACTCTCCTCATCACACTGGCTCTCACTCTTGTTGCGGAATAGTTCACGCACCTTCATTCCAAGAAAGCTCTTGGAGCTGGGGAGTGAGCCTACAGTTAGTGGGACACTAGTGGAAGGCTCCAGCAACATGGATGCTTCCCAGCGACTGCTGAACTGACCCATTCTCTGGTTCTGGGGTTTTTCTGGGGTGGACAACTCACTGCTGCTGCTGCCGCTGCCTTTAGTGCTACTACCACCACCCCGGGTGCTCGGAGGTTTGGTCTCTCCATTTCTACCAATTGCTTCTTCACCGTATCCTGCCACAGAGTCTGCAAATCCTTCATTACTACAATCCAACCTGTTTTGGAATGAGACAGAGAAAGAGAGAGTCAAAGTGATGGTAGCAAAGGTACACCATGAAGAGATTAAGCTTGCTGGAGAAAAAGGCAGTTTACTTTGATTAGTTTCTAACTCTACCATTGCAGATGGGCTAAAACATACCCTCACCAGTTTCTCCTTTCAAATCAATCCTGCAGCAAAGCATAAACCATTGAACATACTACAGCCAGAAACATAACCAACATCACAGATTTAGTGGTGGACATAGGTCCAGGACTGGCAGAGAGCCAAAGGGTAGGATGTACCTGCATCCTCACTGCTTTAGGAAAGGAATGGGGCTATTGTTCCCACTTGGATTTGTAGATCTATCCTTTGCCTGCTGCAGACCTGAACAATAGCTGCTCTCACTATACCAATTGTTTTTTGTAGCCATTCTGAAATTACTACAGGGCTAGGAGCAGGAAGCATTTCATGAGTGGGAAGGATTTATTTAAATCATATATAGGTGGATGCTAATCAGGAGAACAGACAAATTCCTAAGAGGGCAAAGGTAACCGTTGAGTATAATCAAGGCTATTATTATTTCCTCCCCCAGTGGAGAATCCCTTTTTAAACTCAGATAAAAGTCTCAAGACTTCAATGAAAGCAATAGAGAGCTTTTCTTTGACTTCGAGATAGCTTCAATTCAAATGTGCTACGTTTGCATAAAAGAGATGCCTCTGACATCTTCTACACAAGCCAGTCATGCCCAAGTTTTGGTGTGATGATGGTAAATCCAGATAAGTTGTGAGAAACAATGCCTCATAACTGACAATGTTTCAGACCAGAAAAGATGGTCAATTCCTGAGACTTTTGTAGTCATAATGAGGGTTCAGCAACTTTCATGCTAATGCAGCAGTTTGGATTAGATCATAACATCCAAATTTGGATATTAGCAATCCTAACGGTCCCTATTTAATGCAACAGGAACAAAAAGTGCCAATGGAGTAAACTATTTCCCTGGACAACATCCCATTTAAATGGGAATGGGTTTCAGGTGTAGCTAGTTTGCATAGTATTGTAGTTACTAAAGAGCTCCTTTACAGTTTATTCTCAACTCTGTTACTGACTCACTGGGTTACCTGGACAAGCCACTCATCTCAGTTTCATCACCTGTAAGAATGAGAAAAACTGATGCTTCGCAAAGGTGAGTAAAGTACTTGGATACTTAAGGATGGCAGACACTGAATGCTAAACATTACTAAGGGAGGTTTACCTCAAGCAGCTTGCAAGTCACTCACCAAGTTTTGTAATATTGTCCTTACCTTTCTTCTGCTGCTTCAGCTGCTTCTGTTTTTTCATCGTCAAGTTTTTTCAATAGGCTATCCTTCTCCCATCGGCCATACAGATCTAAAATCTCCAGCTCAAATGCTTGTGTAATTCTTTTCTGGGCTTTGTATCTGCTCTCTACCGCTTGCAGCTGGCCTCTGAACATACGAAGAACACATTACTATCAATTTAAATTTCTCAAAGTATAACCCATCTGCCAATACATTTTTTGAACAACGTAATATATTTTATTGCACAAACTTCTATTGGTGAAAGAGACTAGCTTTCTTCTAAGCTTACACACGCTTCTTCAAGTCCTGAAGAAGAGCTCCGTGTGAGCTTGTCTCTTGCACCAATAGAAGTTGGTCCAATAAAACATACTACCTCACCCACCTTAGTTCTCTAATATCCTGGGACCTACAGCTACAACAACATGGCAAACAACTTTATCTATAATGTAAGTTAGTATTAGTTACTGAAGTTGAAATCCCAACCTTGCTTGGATTTTGACATCCTCCAGATATTTCTTTTGCTCCAGTAACAGGTGATCTTTCTTAGAAAGCTGAGACTCCAGTTCAACTATCCGCTTCTGGGAGGCATCAAGCCTCTGGCTTTGCTGTTGAACACAGAATTTTGCTTTCTCCAGTTCTTTCCGAAAAGCAGCCTGCATCATTTCCACTTCCTGAAAAAGAGGGGTATTCTGTGTTCCTGAGCAATATACCATTTAGTGTCACATAAGTAAAAAGGCTAACTTTCATCAGATATAGTAAAATATCTACAACAGTAGATCCATCCCATGCCCCTTTGCTTTGAAGAGTCTAAATCTGTTTTCTCAGGATTTCACTGGGGAAGAAAGGTTTTAAATAGAGCTTTAATAGGGACAGGATTCCTATATGGTTTGTAGTATTTATACGTGTGCATACAGTTACAGATAGCATAATTTCTATGCAAGATGAAACAAAGCAAGTGTCCAAAAAAAGAGATGCAGAATTGGAGAATTTGTGAATGTATCAGGGATACTAAATTACCATGAATATAGCTCCACATGACCAGAATTTATTAGCACATCAGTGTTCCTTACTTTCCAATAGGGGTAGTCTTGTAACAGATTAGAATGGATAATTTTCAATTTCTTTGAAATGTGGCCCTCAAAGTGCCAAAAGGGCACTTTTTTTGGCTTTACAGTTCACTTTTACTGGTTGCTGTCTCTCATGTAAAAGCAGGTACATTGTGCTGTAAATGTCGCTTGCCCTACTGGTACAAAAATGTTTCCCTGAGCAGGGGTAATAAAATCATATGGTCCTTAGAACTATTACAAAAAAAGAAGCAAGGAGCATGAGACGTATGTGTGGTTGCAGAGATAAGCACTTTTGGTGACAATTGTTGAAGTGACATGGCACTACTTCTGCATGCTGAGACCTACTGTATTAATACTAAGTGCATTCCCATGCAATATCTCAAGGAGCAGATTCTCTTTTTACCTTCACCTAGAAAATGATATGCGATATGGATTTCTGCTCCAGGGTGATACAAATGTAAGTTTCCAAGGTCACTGAACCTATTAAGGGTTGGCAATTTTCCAGGAAAAGCTAGTTTATGCCAGGACGCTGGTAAATACCAGGTTAAATCCAGTTTAAACTGAGAAAAATAATTGCATCCACATCCAGTGAGTTCAGCAAGCAGAGAACAAATCTTTTCAACCTTTGGATATACCCATTCAAAACTGAGGAATAAGCTCAGTCTATCTACTATATCAAAGTTGGTCTTTTGCTGCATGGCCAAATGGACTGGTAGTTTGCAATTCTCATGCTTCTGACTGCTCAATGCGTCAAGCCTACAACTCTGCATTACTGTCATTTTCCTATAATGTTTTCGACTTTTATTTATAGAATACTGAAAACGGAAATGAGTCATGACATGAATAACTTCCTTGAGAAAATACCAAACCAAAATGCACAGTCATTCCAATGTTCGGTATAATAATTACATATATTAGTATTATGTCCACTGCACTTTTACTTTTTATTTGTGCAACTCTAAATTAATCTATGCATCTACTGCATTATGTAACAATCTGAATGTATAACTAAACCTAAGTGTAATGTGGTCTGCATCAATTAAACAATTTTTAAAATAGAAAATGCCTTAAACTGTGATGAACTAGTTTTTCCTGGTGCAGTAAAAACCATTATTTACCTAGTAAAAACTATGCCATCCAAGAAGCTATCTGAAGACAGACTGGATAGCCTGGCATGACTAACACAAAAGCTCTCACTGAAAGATAAATCACAGTAGTATATTCCTTCATTTGCTTTGAAACTGGATGCAAACATCTATGTCTGTTTGCTGATTTATAAAGAGTTTCCTTCTTCACTGAAAAGCCACTGCTGAACTTGATGATGATCCTAAGACAAATCTTTCCAGGAAAGCCTTGCCTGTGACCCACATACGGTACCTTTGTTGTGTCTGCATGCTTGTGCTGCAGCTGTTCCAAGTACAGCTCATTGACCTCCCCAAGAACCAGAAGTTGCCTATTCAAGAACTCCATCTGCTGCTGGACTGACTCGCTGTTGGAAAGCTTAAAAAAAAGTTTAAAAAAAAGAAGAGTCCGCAGTGAACAGTTTAATCTAAGTGTCACACCTGACCTGCACTACATCTGGGGGTTATTTTTTACTGAGAAGAAAAAGGAAAATCAAACCATGGTGCCTAGGGAAAGTAGCAGGCAATTATGACAATCAAGTGAATGGATGTTACTCAAAGTTGCTTCTGGTAAATTGTGACATTCCATGAGACAAATGCAGCATTTAGTTAGCTTAACCCCTCAGTTTGCTTCAAATAAGGTAACTGCTTCTCCATTTGTATGTGAAGTCCCTTTAACTTCTGACAGGAGCTCTTTAACATACAGAAAGCTTTAATCCAAGCACATTATTACTTCCTTCTGGGGAAATTCTGTGCCACTGCGCATGCGCAGAATTTATGTCCCTCACAGATTTCTTTACTTCCCCGCAGTAAAATGACTTTCTGATGGGGAAGCATAGGGAAGCCACAAGAGCAGTCATGAGACCCTCCCCAACAATATGTTTTGGGTGCCCAGGGCGGCCAACAGAGAGGTAAGTCACTGTGGGGCAGAGGGCAGGACTGGGGAAGACCTGATTGGTGACTCCTACCCTGTGCTAGGCTCAGCTGCTAGTCCTGGCTGGGCTGGGGAGGATGGGACTTCCTTTTCCCCTACATGGCATCCAGGGTCAGGTCAGACCCACCCCCAGATTTCTTCCCCAGTTGCAGGAAGCTCTGTAAAACTCCTCCTCCCACCTGCCACTTCCTACTGCCATCGCTCCTCAGCTGCAGGGGGAAGAATCCCTGTACAGGGAGCTGCTCCTCCATCTGCCCAACCCAGGTGCATCCAGACCCCCTCGTACCCAGACCCTTCTGCCAAGTCTCACCCACCCGCACTCAGAATCTGGCTGCTGAGCCCCACGCCCCCTGAACCTGGACCACCCTGACAAGCCACCCACCACCAGATTCCCACCCCACCGATGCCCAACCAGCTGCATCTGGACCCCCACTCTCCCAGCATCTGGACCCCCACTGAGTCCCCCGCGCCCCCCCCCAAACCCTCCCGCTAAGCCCAAACCACCTTCACCTGGACCCCCTGCAGAGTCCCATTACTGTTGCACCCAGAACCCTGCCCCCAACAAGCCCCTGTGCATCCAGATCTCCCCCGCAGCCAGATCCCACACCGAGTCACCCACACCCAGATTGCCCCACACAGAACCCTCTCAACCCATACTTGGATCTCCCCACATTTAAGCCCCTCCACACTTGCATCCTTCCTGCCCACACCTGGCATGGAGGGGCAGGGCCCTGGGGTGTTTCTGGGACAGGCTTGGTCCTTGCACTGTGTCAGGGTTGGGTGCGGCCTCACCACTGAGTCCATGTCCTGGCCGGGGGGGGCGAAGAAGAGCTGCACAGTGATCTCCCACCTCTGTGCAGCCAGTGGCCTGTGCTTCCCAGTGCCAAGCTGGAGCCTCCATATTTATTTGACAAATAAAATTTGCAGAATTTTTAAACACTGTGTACAGAATTTTTATATTTTTGGCACAGAATGCCCTCAGGCATTGCTCAATCTGTGAAATTCCAAATGTGGGCCAGACCCAAAATGAGGAGCAAGATTTCAGAAGTATCAGGACAACGCACATTTAATTTCTTCAGCATAACATTTTTCATACTCTTTCTGTTCTCACTCATTTAAAATCAATACCATGGAACTCAGTGTGGTATGAGGAGCAGCTTACCCAAAGTGATAGAGGCCTTATGAGGAACGAAGAGAAATTTGAAATGGGTACTAACAAAAAAAGACATAACAGAAGGGCCACAAGGAGAATCTTACCTTCTGAGAAACTTGGCTGAGAAGCAACTCTGTGTGACACACCTTGTTGTTGGCTTTCTTTAATTCTACCCTCAAATCTGCAATCATATTCCTACAGTCCTTCAGCTTGGTCTGTTTAAATAAACAGCAAGAGGCTTAAGGTTCTGAAACTGTACCACAAATCTAGCAAAATACACATTTGGCAGGATGGCCAGCATTCCCCCCACCCAGCATAATCAGCAGTTACAGACTAAACACTAAAAATGATCATCATCTACGGACTAGTGAAAGGCATGCAATTTGCCATTTCAAAGCAAAATAAAACAAAGCCACAAAGAACAGAATCACATTAGTTAGATGAATTTTTAACTGCATGTTGTCTTATTTGGATTGAAGTGAGAGGTTTAATATACTTAAGAGCCAGATCATTGGGGGGTTATTTTTAAAGCTACGTTATCTGTTCACTATAGCTTTTCCATGCTATGTTTCATACCTGCAATTCCTGGCTCTGGTTGTAGAATTCTTCCCTGTCATGTTGCAGCTGTCGGATCTGGCTGTGAAGCTGAGCCACTATATTATCATGTTCTTCCTGAAACTGGTGGTACCTGGCCTGCTCTTTCTGCAGACTAAGCTTCAAGGACTGGATATCTTTCTCCTGTAGTTTCAGCTGATCTTTCTGTCCGGAACCATATACCAAAAGTCAGATGACCAAATTTGCTACTTCAACTAGTACATCAGAGACCACTGCCCTAAGTCAACCACCAAATAAAGGATCAAAACCAAAACCCACTAATAGCACAATCTTCAAACTTGGCTATGTTACAGCACTTTAGTATGTTCCTCATATAAAAAGGTTTTTTTTGTTGTTTTTTTAAAGAAATGGTTAAAGATGCCAGGCTGAACATACTGGAAACTGAAGTTACATCCATGAAATATGGTCAGCAGTTATGTATGTTCCTCCACATCACCCCATGCTCCAGTCGTGACCTAAAGGGACAGCCTCAGGGAAGAGAGGGTAGTTCCATTTCCAATAATTACTTAGTTCTTAGCCTCTTTGCTGTGACTGCAATAAAGATCCCAATTTACATGGCAGCTTTTATAACATGGACTTAAGAATTCAAACAAGATTAAAGTTATTTCAAATGGTTTCCACACAACTAAGTTTCCATCACTAATTAGGGCCAGATTCAGAGACTCTGAAAGGGAGAACACACTTGAAATACTTAGCTTTCTGCCAGCATTCTTCCTCCTCAAATGGAAAGTATGTACCTCTTCAGGAAACTTAACAAGGTTACTAGCCTAATGCTAAGACTGCCCAAATGTTAAGCAAGCATAACATTAACTGTTAAATCACAACGTCTTTCTAAGCTAAGTTTGGCAGTTATTTAAGCCACCTGGCTTCTTCATGTATGTGTTCAGTTCAAGGCCCTTTATGGTAAATTTCCAGTTTCAACTAATCATACTGCATCAAAATTATCCACAATCCATTCCACAAAAACTGGAGTGTTCAAAGGTTACTTTAAAAACAAGAAAAAACTTCAAAAATAAATACTTTAAAAGATTTTAAAGTTCTAGGATACTATAGTAGATGTTGTCTGGGGCAGGCATTCATAGATTTGGTAGTGATGTATTAGTAGCACTTCTTGGCATGCACAACTCTTAAATCCTTGCTCACCATGGCAGCATTATGTTCCTCCAGTGCTGTTGCTTTGATCACTTTCCGCAGGAGTCGCCGGTTCCGAAGGGCATGTTGTTGCCTTTTGAAGCGCTCATACAATAACTGGTTGTGTAGCAAAAGCAGCTGGTTACGCAGGGTGTGAATCTCATCTGAAGGGGGAGAACCTAGACAGAGTTAAATGACAGAGCAGAGGTTACTGCTAAATATATTTGATTCTATTACATACATTCAAACTTACATCCTCTTTCAGGCCCATTCTTCTTTTCCAGGGTTATTTTTTAACTTCAAAACTGAATGGAAAAAATTAGGAATTTAAATAAAGGTATCAATAGTTAGCACAAAACTTTACATGTTCAAAACTTTATACAGTCTTGAATCTTCATCATACCCACAGTTTACAGTACTAATTTATTATCTACACTTTACAGAAGGGGGTAAAGTTTTCTAGAGTGTTTAGATGGCTTAGATACTTTAGAAAGTGTGAGTGAGATTATGTCTACACTACAAAGTAAAAAACTGACGGCACCAGCTCAGAGCTTGGGTCAACTGACTTGTGCTTACAGGGCTCAGGCAGCCAGGCTAAAAATAACAGTACAGACATTCCCCCTCAGGCTGGAGCCTGAGCTCTAAGACCCTCCCCCCTTGACAAATTTCAAAGCCCAGGCTCTAGCCTGTCTATACTGCTATTTTTAACCCTACAGCCTGAGCCAACTGACCTGGGTTCTGAGACTGGGCTCTACATTTTTTTCTTTCTATGTAGACCTAGCCTAAGCTACCTACGTTCCACTGACTTCCAGTGCTACCGAAGACACTTTTGAAAGTTTTACCCACAGAATCTGAAAGAACTAATTTGCACAAAGTTACACAGCAAATCAGTGACAGAACCAGAATTAGAATTTAGGACCTTCCAATTTCTAAGCCTGTGGCTCATTCCTCCAACCTATACAGCCTTCATAATTATATTAAAAAAAATAATACAACAACTATTTGAAGCCTGAAACTGAAGTCTATTTTCTCTTACATTACATGTTTTTGTCTCTCATAAGCAGGTTGCTCATGAGTGCTGTGCTTGTGGCTTACATTATTATTTCTGGGAAAGAGTAATGAGAAATTGTAGGACATGGCTTTTACTGCACCATCTAAAAGTGGTAAGATTGAGATTAGCCTCAAGCCATCTAAAAATGTCAGTTTTAAATATTTCAAGAGATGATGTCTTCCAAAAAGCCACGGGAAAGATTTTAAGACAGGCCAATTTCACACTCCTTTGTTATTTCACCATCCTACCTTAGTAAGACAGATTTATCTAAAAGCATTCCTAAGCACAGGCAACACTGAAAAGTTTTCTAACACTGTACAAAGTAGATTTTTGATTGACAAAACTGTGCTTAAGTCAGCTATGACTTAAGTGGAGCTTCCAGATGGCTCAGGTGAAGAAAGACAAGGGACATATTTGAATTAAGGGAACCAGACCAATGTGTCCAAAAACAACTTCTGTTCTAAAACCCCTCTGCCTCATAGTTATATTGATTTTTCAACTGGCTCATTTTTTTAAATCTCCCCAGAGGAGTAAATATTACCATCATGGAAGTCAAAAGGAAGCCTAAGGTGACAAAACTGTGAGATATATGTTAAAATGGTGAGGAAAGATTTCAGTTTTAGGCTCTCTGAGTTATGATCAGCTGGGGGTGGAGCGGGGGGAATATTTAGGTAGGTCTTTAAACCAGGTGGAATTCAGCTTTAAAACTGAAGGGCCATTCACCTGAGTAGAATTTGTTTCTGCATAGGTGGCCATAAAAACAAACCCATAAAGAGAACGAGCGTCCCTTTGAAGAAGGCCTGTACATGCAATTGCAGATTTGATAATGGGCATGAGTACCACTCCAATCTAATGGGGAAAAAAGCACATAGCAATATTTTTGGTTCTGCAGGAAAGGCAATTATCACTTTCCAAAGAAAAAGAAACTTGTAATGTTGAAACACAAAGGTGCACCGTCTGCTGAGCAGATAAACTATATCTTAATGACGCAAAAAGAAATGGAGTACTTGTGGCACCTTAGAGACTAACCAATTTATTTGAGCATGAGCTTTCGTGAGCTACAGCTCACTTCATCCGATGCTCACTTCATTGGATGCTCACAAAATGAAATGTGTCATCGGTGCCACAAGTACTCCTTTTCTTTTTGCGAATACAGACTAACACGGCTGCTGCTCTGACACTGATCTTAATGACGGTCATCATGGAACTGCAGCAGTTGAAAAGAAAGAAGCCAAATACGCAGTCCACCATTTAAGTAAACCAAGTAGAAGAAGACACAAAGAAATGTATTTTTACTGATTACGGACTACACTTATGGTCCTAAACCAAGAAAAACTTGTTTACCTCCAAAGTGAGTCCAGTCAGCAGATTTGCTTGGCAGAGGCAATCTGAAAATAAAAACACAGTATTAACAGTTTATAGTTACAGACCAGTAAGTCTGATGTCAGTACTGGGCAAATTAGTTGAAACAATAGTAAAGAATAAAATTGTCAGACACACAGAAGAACATAAATTGTTGCACAAAAGTCAACATGGTTTCTGTAAATGGAGATCATGTCTTACTAATCTATTAGAGTTCTTTGAGGGGGTCAACAAACATGTGGACAGGGCAATCCAGTGGACACAGCGTACTTAGATTTCCAGAAAGCCTTTGACAAGGTCCCTCACCAAAGGCTCTTATGTAAATTAAGTTGTCATGGGATAAGAGGGAAGATCCTTTCATGGACTGAGAGCTGGTTAAAGGACAGGGAATAAATGGTAAATTTCCAGGGTAGGAATAAATGGTAAATTTTCAGACTGGAGAGGGGTAACTAATGGTGTTCCCTAAGGGTCAGACCTAGGACCAACCCTATTCAATGTATTCATAATGATCTGGAGAAAGGGGTAAACAGTGAGGTGGCAAAGTTTGCAGATGATACTAAACTGCTCAAGATAGTTAAGGCCAAAGCCGACTGTGAAGAACTTCAAAAAGATCTTACAAAACTAAGTGATTGGGCAACAAAATGGGAAATGAAATTTAACGTGGATAATTGTAAAGTAATTCACATTGGAAAAAATAACCCCAACTATATATACAATATGATAGGGACTAATTTAGCTACAGCTAATCAGGAGAAAGTTCTTGGAGTCATTGTGGATAGTTCTCTGAAGACGTCCATGCAGTGGCAGTCAAAAAAGCAAACGGGATGTTAGGAATCATTAAAAAACGGATAGAGAATAAGATGGAGAACATCTTATTGCCCTTATATAAATCCATGCTACGCCCACATCTTGAATACTGCATACAGATGTGGTCCCCTCATCTCAAAGAAGATATACTGGCATTAGAAAAGGTTCAGAAAAGGGCAACTAAAATGATTAGGGGTTTGGAACGGGTCCTGTCATAAATATAAAGGGAAGGGTAAACACTTTTTAAATCCCTCCTGGCCAGAAGAAAACCCTTTCACCTGTAAAGGGTTAAGAAGCTAGGATAACCTCGCTGGCACCAGACGAAAATGACCAATGAGGAGACAAGATACTTTCAAAAGCTGGGGGGAGGGATAAACAAAGCCTCTCTCTCTCTCTGTGTGTGTGATGCTTTTGCCGGGGACAGAATAGGAATGGAGTCTTAGAACTTACTACGTACTCTAGCTAGATATGCGTTAGATTCTGATTTCTTTAAGTGGCTGAGAAAAATAAGCTGTGCTGAATGGAATGTATATTCCTGTTTTTGTGTCTTTTTGTAACTTAAGGTTTTGCCTAGAGGGATTCTCTATGTTTTGAATCTAATTACCCTGTAAGGTATTTACCATCCTGATTTTACAGAGGTGATTCTTTTTTACTTTTTCTTCTATTAAAATTCTTTTTTTAAGAAACTGAATGCTTTTTCATTCTTCTTAAGATCCAAGGGTTTGGGTCTGTGGTCACCTATGCAAATTGGTGAGGATTTTTATCAAACCTTCCCCAGGAAGGGGGGGTGCAAGGTTTTGGGAGGATTTGGGGGGGGGGGGGGAGGGGAGACGTTTCCAAACGGACTCTTTCTTAATAATAATACCGGTTAGACGTTTGGTGGTGGCAGCGAAAGTCCAAGGGCAAAAGGTAAAATAGTTTGTACCTTGGGGAAGTTTTAACCTAAGCTGGTAAAAGTAAGCTTAGGAGGTTTTCATGCAGGTTCCTACATCTGTACCCTAGAGTTCAGAGTGGGGAAGGAACCTTGACAGGTCCCATATGAGGAGAGATTAAAGAGGCAAGGACTTTTCAGCTTGGAAAAGAGGAGACTAAGGGGGGGATATGATAGAGGTCTATAAAGTCATGAGTGCTGTGGAGAAACTGAATAAGGAAAAGTTATTTACTTGTTCCCATAATATAAGAACATGGGGCCACCAAATGAAATTAATAGGCAGCAGGTTGCAACCAAATAAAAGGACGTTCTTCTTCACTAGCGCACAGTCAACCTGTGGAACTCCTTGCCTGAGGAGGTTGTGAAGGCTAGGACTATAACAGGGTTTAAAAGAGGACGGGATAAATTCATGGAGATTAAGTCCATTAATGGCTAACAGCCAGGATGGGTAAGGAATGGTGTCCCTAGCCTCTGTTTGTCAGAGGGTGGAGTTGGATGGCAGGACAGAGATCACTTGATCATTACCTGTGTGGAAGTGTGAAAGGGAAAAGAAGATTTGTGTGCAGTTATTTTAGTTTGGTTAAGAGACAGAGCAAGAAATAGGCCAACCTCAACCCTAGTAACGCAAGATTTGTAGAAGTGGGGTTTGTGTGAAGCGGATGGGAAAACTACAAGGGACCTTGCTTTAAGATAAGAATGGAAAGCAGACTATAGCAGAAATTGTTGAGAAAAATAAGATATCAGGAAGGAATATGTATAAACAAAATGCAGCTGTTGATTATTATTGTATGTAACAAAAGGTATAAATGCTTGACATAATTGTTTTTCTTTTGAGAGACCGGCCGAGGAAGGGGGAATCCCTGTCTGTGTGTACTCTCTCCCGCCTTGCAACTGCTAGAGAATAAAGACTGTCTCTGACTTGCTGCAACCAACCTAAGAGCGAAGACTCTGTTTTCTTCCACACCTGTTAGGCTCACTCCCTCTGGGGCACTTGGCATTGGCCACTGTCGGGAGACAGGATACTGGGCTGGATGGACCTTTGGTCTGACCCGGTATGGCCATTCTTATGTTCTATATACGCTGTAAGTGAACACTTTACAAGGCAGATTGAAATACAGCCCCTGTCCCTAAGGCTTTGCAATCTAACAAATGAAACATCCTACTCGAGAATAATTCAGGTAAGAGGGTGTAAAGATCACTGCAAGAAGTGGGCTTTAAGGCAGAATTTGAAAGACAGAAAGGATGCTTGGTAGACAGAATGGGAGAGACTGTCCCAAGTGTAAAAAGCAGCTTGAGAAAGGGGAGAAGCAGGAAGTAGGATAAGGAGATGAAGGGAGTGCATAATAGGAAATGAAAACAGACATGGATGCATCCATATATGAATCTCCCTTCTTACACCTTGGCCCAAACAAGTTTTTCCAGTTCCTGACTTTCACACTAGGGGGAAGGAATTGCTATGCTTCTCCTGGGCGCTAGACTTCACCCCATTACTGGACACATAACTCTGCCCTCATGAACAACTTTATCTAAGGGCATGACTACACTACAGACTTTAAATTGACATATGTCCACATTACCCTCCTTCTGTCAGTGGTGCACATCCTCCCTAGGAGTGGTTCCACTAACTGAAGAGGGGTGTTGTGTGTGAGTGCGAGTGTGACAGAGAGAGAGAGAGAGAGAGAGAGAGCGCGAGCACGCACGCGCGGGGGCTGAGAGCCAGGACTCTCAGCTCCACGCAGCTCCCCACCAGGAGCAGGGGGACCAGCCGCCCCCTAGAGTTCTTGGCTCTCCGCTGGGAGTGGGAGCAGCCGCTCGACCTTCTCAGCTCCCTAAGTGGGGAGCCAGGCACTGGCGGCATGGAGCCCTGAAATTGACAAGACAGCCAATAGCAGTGTCTACACAAAAATTGCGTTGCCCTACCTACCCCGACAAAAAACCTCCACGAGAGGCGTAGGGTCAGTGTAGAAGGGCACTTTTATATTGGCAGGAGAAGGCTGCAGTGTGTACACTGATATTATTAGGCCGACATAACCTGACTTATCTCAACCTAACTGTGTCTCAGACAAGCATCTAAGCCACATTAGAGAGAGGCAGCCAATGGTCCTCCACTTCCTCACCATCAGGTTTAGCAACACAACTGAGCTCCATCAGCAAAGGCAGCAAGAGTCCTTAGGTTATTCACAGACTGCTAGACTTTAAGGTCAGAAGGAACCATCGTGATCATCTAGTCTGACCTCCTGCACATGGCAGGCCACAGAACCTCACCCACCCACTCCTGAAATAGACCCAGAACCTCAAATCATGGTTTAAAGACTTTACCTTCAAGAGAATTTACCATTTACACTAGTTTAAACCTGCAAGTGCCTTATGCCCCATGCTGCAGGGGAAGGAGAAAACCCCCAGGGTCTCTGCCAATCTGACCCAGAGAGAAATTCCTCCCAATTCCAAATATGGCAGTCAGTTAGACCCTGAGCATGTGGGCAAGACTCGACAGGCAGATACCTGGGAAAGAATTCTCTGTAGTAACTCGGAGCTCTCCCCATCTAGTGTCCTGTCTCCAGCAGTTGGGTTTTTTTTGCTACTGATGATAGCCAATGGGCCACATGCCATTGTAGGTAATCTCCTCATATCATCCCCTCCATAAATTTATCAAGCTCAGTCTTGAAGCCAGGTAGGTTTTTTGCCCAGCAGTGCTCCACTTGGAAGGCTGTTCCAAAACTTCACTCCTCTGAGGATTAGAAACCTTTGCCTAATTTTGAGCCAAAACTTGTTGGTGGCCAGGTTATAGCCATTTGTTTTTGTGTCCACATTCAAGCTTAACTTAAATAACTCCTCTCCCTTCCTGGTATTTATTACTCTGATGTATTTATAGAAAGCAATCATATCTCCCCTCAGCCATCTTTTGGTTAGGCTAAACAAGCCAAGCTCTTTGGGTCTCCTTTTATAAGGTAGGTTTTCCATTCCTCAGATCATCCTAATAACCTTTCTCTGCATCTGTTCCAATTTGAATTTATCTTTCTTAAACATGGGACACTAGAACTGCACACAATATTCCAGATGTGATCTGACCAGTGCCTGGTATAATGGTACTAACACTTCCCTGTCTCTACTAGAAATACCTCACCTGATGCATCCTAGGACTGCATTAGCCTTTTTCACAATTGCATCACACTGACAGTTCATAGTCATCCTGTGATCAATACACCCAGGTCTTTCTCTTCCTCGGTCACTTTGACCTGGTAAGTCCCCAGCTTATAGCAAAAATTCTTGTGGTTGGTCCCTAAATGCATGACCTTGCATTTTGCTCTACTAAATTTCATCCAATTTCTATTACTCCAGTTTACAAAGTAATCCATATCTTCTTGTATGATATTTTGGGTCCTCCTTGGTATTGGCAATACCTCCCAACTTTGTGTCAACCGCAAATTTTATTAGCACAAACTCACTTTTTTTTTTTTTAAACCAAAAAGTCAGTAATAAAAATGTTTAATAAGATTGATCCCAAAACCAAACCCTCAGAAATTCCACTAGTAACCTCCCTCTAGCCTGACAGTTCACCTTTCAGTATGACCCACTGTAGTCACCCCTTTAACCAATTTCTTCTTCACCTTTCAATTCTCATATTAATCCCCATCTGCTCCAATTTGGTTAATAATTTCCCATGTGGAACTATATCAGATGCCTTACAGAAATCCAGGTAGATTAGATCTACTGCATTTCCTTTGTCTAAAAGATCAGTTATCTTCTCAAAGGAGGAGATCAGGTTAGTTTGGCAGGATCTACCTTTTGTAAAACCATGTCTATTTTATCCCAATTACCATTCACCTCTATGTCCTTAACTACTTTCTCTTTCAAAATTTGTTCCAAGACCTTGCATACAATTGAGGTCAAACTAACAGGCTTGTAGTTTGCTGGGTCACTTTTTCCCCTTTATTAAAAATAGGAACTATATTAGCAATTCTCCAGTCAGAGTATGACCCTTGAGTTTACAGATTCATTAAAAATCCTTGTTATTGAGCTCGCAATTTCATGTGACAGTTCCTTTAATATTCTAGGATGGAGATTATCTGGGCTGCCTGATTTAGTCCCATCAAGCTGTTTGAGTTTGACTTCCACCTCAGATGTGGTAATTTCTACCTTCATAAAGACGTTTTACTTATACAGATAAATGTTAAGCTACCTTTCTGGCTATAAAGTTCACGTTCAAGAACTCATGCATGTCCAGCTAGGAACCTCTGAAGAGGTGACTTAACATGAAGCAATTCTGCACTTTCAATATAAGGACTACAGAGCCATGTCTGCAGAGCTTCTTGGTTTCCAAACAAAGCAGCCTTTTAGGCACAGCTATTGATATATGAACTGACAAGGAAAGGAATAATGAAATGGTAACCAAGTGTTTGCAGAGCAAGGTCTGTAGACACTTACTTGTTGAGCTCCTTGGTATGTGCATCTGCTCCTTGCTGTATCAGTCTATCCAGTACTTCCATTGGAGAGGTGGAGGATGTGCAGTCTTCTTCCTGGTTTCCCTTGACTTTCTTTCTCAGTTCCTCAGTCTTCTTGCTAACAAAGAGGTAGGCAGTCTTTGGTAATGCAACCTCAAAAAGGTGCTCATATGAGGGACGCTGCCCGCTCCCAAACCCCATTCTTCTCTGTGCTGATACTTTGCAAGGGCTGGGAGTGAGGATACTGGTCTCCATAGAGGATTGGCCTACCCTGATACCAGCAGGGCCTTCATGAGAGGCTCCACAGGGTCTGTCAATGGGAGTAAATGCTTGTTTTGGTGTGTCTCGTGCACCCTCAGGCCCAGATTTGTCTAGAGACGAGGCTAATGGTTCAGAGTTCAGACTGTGTCCTTGAACACTGGAGACTACTGAATGGGGCTTCCTTTGAGAGGCTGGTAGACTCTCACTTGTGCGGTAAAAAGGAGAGTCAAATCCTCCTCTAGGCACCACGGGCTCAGCATCTGCTGTAGTGATCTCAGAAATCTCTTTTGATATTGCATCTGAGGAAAAAAAAGGAAAGGCAGTTAATAGGCAAAAAAGCTTTAAAAAAAATAAGTTTGGTGCTGTGTTAAGACAATCCACCTTTCACCCCCTATAGAACGCCCCCAAACCAACTCTGTGAACATTTAGACATCAGTTTACCTGGCACACACTCAGGCTTGCTCTTTGTAACCTGGGATACAAATCCTGTACACTTTCTTAATGTAAAATTAGAACAGGGTCCAATATCAAAACTGAGGGATGCAAATTAACTCATGGCTTTATGTCAGAGAGATGAATTTTTCGAAGTGTAATTTGAGTTCTTAAAACTTTGGGAAGATTTTTCAAATTGAAATAGACCAGACAAAGTATTTCGGAATATACACAATAGGATTTAAATTATTTACCACAATTAAGATAATACAAATAAGAGTAAGTTTTATTAAATTGGAAAAACTAGCTTGTGGGTAAAAAGCTAGAAATAAAGCAAATAAAATAAACCAGCCTTTCTATACAGGGTGAATAAAAACACCAACTAAGAAACATTTATGCTGATAATAGCTTATCTTAATTAATTAGCCTCTTACAGTTTGTATGGCAACTTCCACCTTCTCTGTACGTACGTATATATATCTTCTTACTATATGTTCCATTCTATACAGCCGATGAAGTGAGCTGTAGCCCACGAAAGCTTATGCTCTAATAAATTTGTTAGTCTCTAAGGTGTCACAAATACTCCTGTTCTTTTTTCGGATACAGACTAACATGGCTGCTACTCTGAAACCTGTCATTTAAAAATTGATTTATTTAAATCAGAAGTTTTTAAAATTTCATTAAATACTTAAAATTTAATTTAAAATTGACAACTTCTTTTAAGGCCTAAACTTATTACAAATTACAATCATTTTAATCAAATACAAAAAATATTCAGCAGTTCATATTTTCTGCTAAGTTTTAGGAAGAAGTCAAACCACTGAATAATAGTGAAAGTCACTGGATAAACACTTGGAACCAGAGTTTGTGAAAGTGCTAAACCAGCTTTTGACAGCAGTAGCCTCTTTTGCAGGTGTAGAGAGAATCTTTTCTTCATTTCAGTTTTTCAGCTTCCAATCAATTTCTTAACACTGAAATGAACTAGTTGAATAAAGCAGGAAAGCTTGTTTTCCTCTTCCAATCTATGAATAAAAACTAGGTATGAAAAAACGAGATCTATTCATTCTAAAATCTTGAAAGACACTGACCAGAAATCATCAGTTCAATTCATTAACTAGAGATAATACTTCATTTAATAAAACCGTTAGTTTTAAATGCAAAGCATGTTTTGATAAGTTTTTTTTAAAATGTATCCAGCACATTTACGGTAGTTTTATTGAATAAAAAAAAAGTTATTTTTGTGCATTTTAACTGAATTTGAATTTCTATCCAAATAGCACTTTACACAAATCAAAAATAAAAAAAATAAGTTCAGTAAATAGACAATGGTGAACGATGCATTTCTCAACAATAAAAAATGTGAAAATTAAGAAACCAAATAGAGGTAAGTTAAGCTATTGTGACAGGGTCGGGCCAGATGGCTATAGGAGAGTAACAGAAGGCAGATACATTAGCCCCAGGCTAAGTAGGTCCCTTTTCCCTGGGTCAGGAACCTTCTGGAGATCATTAAGACAGGCTGATTAAAACACCTGCAGCCAATCAAGAAGCTGCTAGAATCAATTAAGGCAGGCTAATCAGGGCACCTGGCTTTTAAAAAGGAGCTCACTTCAGTTTGTGGTGTGCATGTGAGGAGCTGGGAGCAAGAGGCACTAGGAGCTGGGAGTGAGAACGCGGACTGTTGGAGGACTGAGGTGTACAAGCATTATCGGACACCAGGAGGAAGGTCCTATGGTGAGGATAAAGAAGGTGTTGGGAGGAGGCCATGGGGAAGTAGCCCAGGGAGTTGTAGCTGTCGCACAGCTGTTCCAGGAGGCACTTGTGACAGCTACATTCCACAGGGCCCTGGGCTGGAACCCGGAGTAGAGGGCGGGCCCGGGTTCCCCCCAAATCCTCCCAACTCCTGGTCAGACACAGGAGGAGTCTACCTGGACTGTGGGTTCAGAAAAAAGGCCAAGCTGAGGGCTGCCATGAAGCTCCAAGGCGAGCAAATCCGCCAATAAGTGCAAGACCCACCAAGGTAGAGCAGGAACTTTGTCACACTATATAATTGCTTAAATATAGGTATATAGATATATTGTATCCTCCTGGTTTTCAAAAAGCACCACTAAAGTCTGTGTAAAAAGACTATATTTAGTTGCAAATCAACATGTTTTAATGGTTGCCAACCAATGAGAATCAACCTTTCATTAGGAAAGTAATTAAAAATATAAAGAATTATATATATCAATGTTCTCTGCTTGTTGAATTAAATCATGATCAAAACTGGTGATGTAAATCAATGCACTTTGTTTCTAGAGTTTTGGGTTTTTTTTATTTAATTCGAGTCCTTGTCAATTGAAGTTCCAAAGAAGAGTGATAAATTTGTAAATATATTGTTTAGTTTATCCATAGGAAAAAACGCCTCTGAATTAAAGAGTCACATACATCTGTAAGAAAAAGGGAGACTAACTATACTAAACATGGAAAAAGTGTTATATCGTCCCTTATAGTGCTAATATGAAGAAAATATTGAAGGACACCCTATCAACACAATGTGTGTTAAGACACTACTATGAAACTGACTACTGTCTCACTCAAATACTCAAAATAGGGTTTTAAGTGGTACATAAACCTTGCAATAGGCCTCTGCATAAGGGTGAATTTTCCACATAGCAAGTAGGGGGTCTATTTTTATACAAAAATCAAATATTTGCTTATCCTCCTATAAGTTTGTTTTTAGAAATTTTGACAGAGAGGAAATTGATTTTTCCTTTTCTGCTAACTACTTCCTAATATAGAGTTTGGATTTTTCACTTGTGGGGAAAGAAGGCTGTTGTGAATACTGGAAATAAGTACAGACTTTAGGATGGAATAATTTTTCAAAGGAATAGTTAAGGGTATTGCAACCATTTTTTTTTTTTTAAATAATGGCTATCCCTGTTTATGTATCTAGAAAATACAGATATTATGCTGTTTTACAGAATATCAGAAAACTAACAGAACAGGGATGGAAAAAAGGAAAGTTAACCTGTAGATATTAAAAACTCTATAAAATTTTGGAAAAAAAATCTTAAGGGAGAGTGAAAAGAGATACTATAAGTGCCTGATCTAAAATCCACTGAAGTCAATGGAATCATTCTATTGACTTCAATAGACTTTGGCTCAGGCCCCAAATAAAGTCACTAGAAGAAAGTCTAGAGCCGTGCCATCTAGCCTGGCATGCTAATTAAGGAACATTATAAAGTTTTATTTCAAAATTATCTTGACCAGAATATTTTATAAAGGGACTATGTAATCATCATGTATGTCAGGGATGGGTGCACAGAAGTAATTCATTCTTACAAAATGTAAATGATAATGTCCTAAAATTAAGATAGTTTGATCCTTGATTTTAAAATAAATAGATTTTCCACTTGCCTATAAATAGTAATTTTTTTTTTTAAACCAATGCAAAAAAAGAGTCCACAGAGTTAACTAGGGACTTACTGATTGTCTCAAAGTCAGAAATTCTTCCCAGATTAAAAAGAGGAAATACAGCCTTAACACTAGTCATGTAAAGAAGGGTTTACTATTATTTATGTATTACACTTACTTCTGAAATAATCCGATTTTTACATTGATACATATGTAAACGATAAGGAGCGCTAAGAGGACTGTTGCATAAAAGGAGGAGGTTTCAAAAATAGAACATTTAAATGGACCAGGAAGACAAAGCCAATAGGGGGGGTTACAACAATTAAGCAGGGCAGTGTGGCTCAGTATACCTTGACAGGAACAACTTCTTTCAGAAATTAAGGATATTTCCTTCTCATCAGAAATATGTGCAGAGTTGCTGCATATTGAACATGAAGTCTCTTGATTTACATGGGAAGAGTTGATAAGAAGCAAGGTGAAATTAACTAACTATACATTTATGCCACTTTTGGAATACTTATCAAGAAGCAGCTGGTATCCCCGATCGGTTCCCTGAATCCACACATTTTCTTCTGGCTGCAGTAATAACTAATACTCATTTATATCTGGCTTGATAAAATTAGAAAGTCTGCATCGTCAAACTCAGTACCATACTAGCTCGAGGTCTAAATGCATATAAAACCTACATAAGAATACCAACAGACATTACCTTCTTCTCTGTCCTTCTCAACACTATCTTCATCAGAGGCCAGGCAACCTAAAAATTCTGGAAGATCACTTAAATTTACAGAACTTTTACTGCCAGGCACTTCTGAAGAAAAAAAAACAAAAATTAATTGTACAGGTGCTATATGTCATCATAAGACTTAACAATATGATATCTTCCACTTCTGCTGAAATAATCTTCAAACAACATTCTCCATCCCTCTAGATCCTCCCCAAAACAGGAGCGTACCCCATTTCTGCTCCACCCGCAAATCAAAGAGTCCTGAAGTGTTAGGTCACTGGTCCCTCCAGAGACAGCCAATGTGATATTGAAATGACAAGAAGTGTTACTGCAGAGTGAGATGAGGTAGTCTCCTCCACAGAAGAGAAGTACGTTGTCTGCAGTTCTCCTACCCATGAAAAGGAAGGACAAAGCTTACGTCTCAAATATGTTTGCACTGCTAGATTTCCAGGCCAGATCTAAACTCCCTTTAAAACACTCATCTTGCTCCAATAAACAGTACTTACCTACAAAAAAAGCTTAACCGAATGAATGCAGTACAAACTAAACCATGTGTGACTGAATAACAGATCAAAAGTCTGAGACAGATGATAGAGAGGCACATACTAAGCAATGCAGGGACAGAAACCTTAGGTTCGCAGCTCAGTCACAAGCTGTGAATCCAATGGAAAGTCTAGCACAAATGCCAAATACCAGAAAGTTCAGATACCAGTGTTGCAAGACAACTCCACTGTGGAAAGCTAGTTTTAAATTCCAGCATCTTCTCCACCCTGAAAACATTTCTACAGCAATTCTTTAACATCCTAAGTGTGGTGCCATCGAAGTCCTTTCCCACCCCTTCCAGAGATGTGTGGCTGTGGGATAGAGGGAAGAGGAAATGGCAAATACAGATTCCATTTCCAGTAAGATACACTTTTCTCTCAAACATTCTCTATAGATTTTACTACTCCACAAGTAACTAGAAAGGGTTCTCTCAAATGCAGTGATATAGTAACACTGCAGGAGCATGAAAAAATACCAAGTTCTGCTTCCAGAAGCATTTGAGGGGAAAGAGTCTATACTGAACTGCTGACGCAGTGAAGGAACACACCTGGGCAGTCTTATAGATGCATAACACTGCAAGTCCTTTTGAAGTTGAGGAATCTAAACATAAGAGAGCTTCCAAAGATCATCCTCAAAGCTTGAACTTCTCCTTTTTAATCTTTTGCAACCTTCACTTTAGTTCTGTGTTCCAAACATTAAATATTTAAATTGTGGAACACTGGGGTGGGGATGAGGGGCAGCTAAGAAGGCAGTCCATGCAAAGTATTTCTGGAGGTGAATAGTTAACAGAAAACAAAAAGTTTTTATCATGTGAAGTTAAGCTGAATCGTAGTGCTAGAGTGGGATTCTGGAACCACTATGGAATGGATGGGGAAAAAAATGGAGAAAGGGCAAGGGAGAAGTCTTTCGTAACTGGAAACATTTATCCACAAATGAGATCACTGCTTTGGGGTAAGACTATTGAGAGCTGGGAGAAGAGGATGTAGTTTACCCAATGCTTTCTCGCTGTTTATGACATTTTGCTGTCGGGACAGCGAAGGCCTCCCGGGATCCGGTTTGTCCTCCTGGAAGAAAATAAGGATTCTTTGCAACAGACATCTATCATAAAGCAGCCACTAGTACATGTTCAGTGAGAGGGAATTTTTCCAGACAGATGACTTTAAGTGGTAAATTGATAAAGGACTTCGGAGACACGCTAACCTAAATATAAATTGCCTGAAGTTACAGGCAATTTGTTAGTTTGTGTTAAGGCCCAAACTATGTTTTCATAATTAAATACTTTTGATTTACACACAGACAACCATGAGTGAAAAACAGGTTCTCATGAAAAGTTAACCCAAAGACTGAAGCCAGCTTTGCCTGCAAGTTACATTTTGTCTTTACCTTCTTGAGAGGTGTGGCAGCAGCTGGAGGGAGTGAAACGTGCACAAAGTCATCTGAAATGCAGGGTGGAGGAGGGGAGGTGGCTGGTGTTCCTAGTGGGGTTCCTTTTCCACCTGCTCAAAAGGCAAAGAAAAGGTTAATCACCATTAAAACTCCATATCCTTCTTATTTGAGTTAATTTCACATTCATAAAGTTCAAGTAATACACACTTCAAATGATTTGCCATTCAAACCTCACAATTTTCAGTTTCATATGGGACATCCAGTTTTCAAACTTTGGTACTTAACTCGGGGTACCCAGTTCTCTGAATCAGTGTTCATAGTAGAACTTAGCTGTGTAAATGAGTACTTGGATGTCTAAATGCTGATTTGGAGAACTCAAATGCAGAATTGGCAGTTCCCATTTAAGACGGCCATTCAAAAAATTGTATGCTCCATTCAAGTGTAGAGTAATGATATAGCTAAAGACATCAAAACTTACGAACAGCAAACTACGTAAGAGAATTTTTAGGGGAAAAGCAGTTTAAAGAAGTTCCAAATACACTTAGATTCACCTTTAAAGAGCCTGTATGCAACCCTAAGTATCTACACAGATATTTTTAACAAAGTATCACTTCTAGACCAAGTTAAAAAACCCATTAAAATACTAACTCTGAAATGCAGTACATACCAGGTGTGCTAAAATATCTGCTATAAGGCTGTGATGAAGTTTGTGAGGACTCTGACGAGACAATTCCTGGAGAGGTTGGTGGAGTGGTCATACCACAAACTGCAGAGGGGCTCCAGATGGTAACCTGACTCACAATATAAGCAAATCAATTAGGCATATGTAATAAAAACCTAAATGAAATACACACATTCTGGCCAATGCCAAATGTCAAAAACAAAAAGGTATAAATGAGGATTACATTTAATTCTTTACTATATTAGGTACAGAAGTTATACTAGGGAAGCTGCAATGCTTGCTCAACTGAAAGAAAATGCACTTATTTCTAAAATATCCAAATCCAATGAAAAAGCCAATTTAAGAACTGAAGAGTGAACATCTTTGTAATAAGAAGCTGGTATGCCATGGTTAGGTGCATTACCTGCTGTGGCTCAGTTGACAGCCGCGAAGACTGTGGGCTCAGAATCGGAGGTAGCTGCCCTTGCATTTGTAATAGGGTTAGCCTAGGAGTGGAATAAGGGGTAGAAGTGGAAGTCCCTGGAGTTTAAAAAAAAAAAAAAAAGAAAAGAAAAGGAACATTCATGTTAGTTTATCAAATCTGATTTAGATCTTGATGGTCCTTCTTGCAGATATTTAACAGTTTTTATTTAAAAAAAATCAAATCCACTCATCCGTTCCTATACACAATCTGGCTATTGGAGAGCAGATTTATAAAATATATAACACCACTAATTTTAAGTGGCTAATCATTTTTTCAGTATTTGAGTGTGCAACCTTAAAGAGGCCTAATTCTCAAAGTGCTGAACACTTGACCAGCTAATCACTACTGTCAATTCTGAGTATATGACAGACAAGGCAACAGGAATTGTCTTAGCTCATCCTTCAAGGAAAAAGGACACAGCTTTGTGACATTGCTAGAGAACAGTAATATCAGGACTTCATACGCATGTACAGAAGGGGGTGGGGGGGAGAGACAGAGACAGAATGTTCTTTTTGCGAAAGTCGCCTTGCAGAACTGGACTCTAAGGAGGGTATAATAGTAAGAACTGATTTTTTTGTAACATAGCTGGTCTGCTTCCAATGGATATTAAAAGTGCCAATCAGCTCTTACCATAGCTGCTGTGTGTGTCAATGTAAGGACTGGCATTGGGGTCAGTTTGACGGGGCTGCAAGCATATGCTGACTGGCTGTGACACAGAATAATAGCTGTCTTCATATGAGGCTTCTTTTGCGTCCAGGGAAATTTTGGCACATTCTATCACAACATCATGAGTTTCTAGTCTTTTCCACCTGCAGATAGTTTTTGGAGCCAAAAGAATAAGTTAGTCTTAAATAAGCTAATTATGATTCTAAATCAAGGTTCCTGGACATATTAGGAACTGGTTTGTCGGATGGCTCATTTGTGTTCCTGCCAGCTTTGCATGATCCCATCTGAAACACGACTGAGGCACCATACAAGTGCCTTGCAACATTTTAGACAGTTTACAAAGAAATTGCACCTAGATGACTCATAAGAGGTGACTCCAAATTGGAAACATAACCGCTTTGAAATAGATCTATTTGAACCAAGCAGGGTCTTCTGTGGAGCACTCTGGAAAGGAGGAAAAGCATACAAAGGCTTGAATGATCCTGAGCTTCAATACATGGAGAGATCAGATCAGCTACCCTCAGATGTTGGGAGTCCAAATTTAGACAAACGAGCAGTGCAGAATCTGAAACTATTTTGAAAATTGCTATCTGGTACACCAACTAAGGAGTTTTACTTGTTTTAAGTTTTGGGCACAAATATTATATTTGTTTCTTTCACTCTGTACACCTCTTCTCTGTATAACTGAGTAACTAAACTCAGCAGTCAAATTAGAACAGACCAAGATCTCAGAGGATGGAAGTTCATTGCATGTTAAAGTATAGTAAGAAAAAATGGGAAGTTATCCATTTAGAAGCTGCTTTGCTTTTGGCCATAAGATAACATTTGAAGTAAGATAGTTTATGCAAGATACTAACCCAAAGGGCTTTAACTGACAATTCTGTGCCAATCTAACTCTTCAGAGGTGTTGCCCTGCCCCCACCCCAAAATGCAGCTGGGAGAAGCCTGCAAAATTGATCATTGTGATAGTCAATGGGTTCCCATTTAGTAGTGTTTTCCTAGTGACTCAAAGCAGGGGAAGAGCACTATTGTGCAGGAACAAGAATCAATTTCTCCTCTTCAGTTGCTGGGCCTGTGGAGACAAGAGAAAAGCAGCAAGTGGTGCTGCTGCAGGCAAATGGGCCTATTTCTAAAAAAGTTAGTACAGCTGAGGCCACATAAAGACACACCTGTTAAAAGAATTGATCTGTTAACCGAATCGAATTTTCTAGGCACCAGATCAGATACACTGAAGCCATTTTAAATACTTAAATTCTATTAAGCACTTCTAATGAGCCAAAGGTAAAAAAATACAATATTAAAACTTGACCCAGTGAAACAGATATGGGTAGCTTATGTCAAATCAAAATGCACATAATGAGCCTGCAGATTCCTCTTTATTTTGTTAAGAAAAATGAGCAAATTAGTTGTCGATAACATTGTTACATCACAGTAGTACTAACTGGTTTCTTCCATAACTAAAATATTTTCCTCAGGTATTGTAATTATCCACCCACCAGACACAAAATGAAGTTCAACCCCCAAACAACCAACTGGTAAATGACCTATTCCAACAATTTTTGTGTCCCCACCCCCAACTGAAAGCTAGGATGCAGAAACCTTATGTTTTATCTGGGGTACCTTAGAATATTGATTGCAGAGTATCACTGGCATAGGACTTTTCTGTTGGCAGGCACAAATTTCTGTTGTGAGCCTCCTGAAAAAGACCATCTAAAGACTGCTCATTCACAGCCTTTCCTAATAGAGGAGTGAATTTATATACCTTCGTGGGTCCAGTTCATGGTCCTTGGATCCAGTCACTAATTCTGGATGAATTCGTACATGTTCCATCATTGGCTGGAAAAGTGGGGGCAAAACACAGAAATATGTATTTAGTGCTTCTGAAAAAGCTTCGTACCATATTCAACTCCAAAAATGGAGCAACAACAAGTAGTTGAAATAGGCAAGGGCTAAAAGTTTAGAGGACAGTTACACAAGTGTGACAGCTAGATTAATTTTTCAGACTTGCTTGTATTTAGAAAGCTGTTTTTGCTTCCACTAAGGGTTCATTCTGCCAGTAATCTGTCATGATCCCGTTTCACTGCACAGTACTCAATCCAATTATATCAATGCAGTAACTCTGGCAGATAACTACAGTCTTGCAGCTATAAACTACACCTTCTTAGCTGATATGAACATAAGCTATATTTTACCTTGACCACCTCTTCAAAAGTCTCCAAGTTTTCCTTCATACTGTAGTGAGAGCGCAGAAAGGAGACAAAGTTGCAAGGATACATTCCATAAAGGCGGTGAAAGAGTGCATAAACACTGGCATGGAGATGGACGAGATAGATCTCTGCCACATGACCTGGGGGAAATAGTTAGAGCCTTTTTACATGATGGAATTGGAGGAGAGAAAGAAGAGAAATTGTGCTGATGAGATCAAAGAAATTGAGCGTCAGAAGTTAAGAGATAGTGCTTTAAGAATGTCTGTTCTGATTCAAGACAAATGACAGTTTGGAAGTACAATAGCCTAGCAATGCTTAACACCATCATCTGTGTGAAAGGAGAGGCCGCACTTGCACGTCACAAGTGTCAATCAGCTCTGAACTAAAAAGTAAAATCAGGAATGGAGTATTCATTCAGGCTGTCTTTTATCCTGTGTTTGTACAGTACCTAAGGTCCACAGCTAGGAAGCCTACATGCTACAGCAATACACATAATAAATCCTTAAAACAAAGCGCTTTCTATTCAGATTGGCTCCTTTGCAGAAGAGTTAATTTTTCAACCATCATAGCTTGCATGACTGACTGAACACTAAGCAAATCAATAAGGACACCCCTTTCCGCTCAAAGTCAAATAAAAATCCGATAACCACAGGGAAAAAAGTATCACAAGTTTGAATTGTGTAACTACTGGCTTGTCTTTCTGGCCTGTAGATGCAGCTATGATATTAGTCAATATCAAAATGGCCTTCTAAATCACCCCTCTATATACTCAACTATGGCATTTGTTCACAGGGTCACACAGACAGAAGACATACAATTTCTAGAATAGTGCCCCAAAATGGCGTATGGATTGTCAGAATGGACTAAGACCAATCAATGTTAAAATGAAAAGTCTAATACTAATAGCACTTTAGTGGTTACTGGTTCAGAAACATTGTCAGAAATTCCTACATCCATAGTTAACATTCATAACTGAGAGCCTCCAAACTAGCACCTGGTTCAAGCTAGTTGTTTTCTCTCACCTTTCCATCTACTAGACCTAACTATCCATCCACATCCTTAGAGCTCTAAGGGTTGCATTCCTGCCATGTAGTGGCAGAAACAGCACTATTGATCTTAAAGCATCACAGAATCCCTCATTTCAGAGTGTTGTACCAATAAGCACCATGGTGCAAGAGCAACATCCAGACATTAGCTGTCAAAGAAAAGAAACAGCTTTGAGTTTAGTATCTAATTTTCCCCATTTAACTAACCCCAGGAGTCAGAACTGCAGCCCACCACTAGTCTCCCAAGATAAAGTGCTCGCCAGCAGTCAGAGAAATAGTGCTACTGAATCATACTTGCAACAAAGTCAGATCTCTCACCTGGATTCTTCAAGCACCAGGATGAGAGACGGCCAAATATACCAAAGAAATCATGAAGGTACATTTTGCCTGACTGTGGAATCATTGGCAGCATGGTTATTAACACTAGGACACCAGTGGTGAGTACTACAACATCTGTGTCAGTCTGCAATGAAGAAAAGTCGTATTAGTCAGAATTCAAATGGAAAAGCTTCATTTTTTCCTGATGCAGCACTGGTACACAATGGACATCACATAGTTAGGCATCCTTAAAGTAAGGACCCTTATCAGGTTGTAATCTAAACCAACCAAACCTTGACTCACTCTCACACCTGCCCTTTAATCTTGCAGATCCCCAAGAGAAAGTCAGGGATTCAGCTACCATTCTGTCTTCCAACCACTGACCTGCTGCCTAAGAATTCGTTAACTTCCTTCAAAGGAAGTCTTTATACCAGTTCCTTATCTGAATGGAGAGAACCACTACTGGTATACCTACCTCTGCCTGTCTAGAGCTAAACATGCTCTGCCTCCAGAGCCCAAGAGATTTGAAATTTGATCTGGGTACCCCACATGCCTGGCAGAGGACTAAAACTAGGCCCCAGCTGTCCTCATGTTAACATCTCTTACATGCATACAAGCCTCTTTCTGTACAGCCACACAAGTTAAATAGTATACCTGTTATAGTAACAAGGCCAAAAACATGATAAAAATGAAACCATTTGGACCAGAGCATAATAATCTGTATCTTGAGTTTAGAGCTTTAGTATTAAAACTTGAGGTTAGCTACAGTTTGTCAGATTGCTGAAATACAGACCAAAAAACTGAGCACTGCTGAAACAAAACACTTATGTTAGCTGAAGGCACTGTTGCATGATAAATCTAAGGTAGCTGAAGAGGTCCCAAACTGTAAATTCTGTCTGCCCGATGCCTCCAATTTAAAAGAAAAAAATAAACAAAACTTTATGAATAGTGACTCTACTAATGCTAATCTACTATTATAACTAATTATGCAAATTTCGGTACCTTGTGTTCATGTATCTTTGCAAACTTCAATCTATTCTCATAACTCGCATGTGAGATACACACAGAGTATATAAATTACTACTTATTTATCAGATGGGGAAATAAAAGTACAGGACGGTCAAGTGTCTGGCACGTTCTCTCAGCAAGTTAGGGGCACAGGAAGGAAAAGAAACCAGGAGTCTTGACTTGCAGTCTTCCTGCTAATCACAAAACATTGTTTTCTCCCTATATTAACTTTAGTATCTTAACTTTTTACATGTTTTCATAAAGCAAAGGATACAAAGTTGTACAATTTAGGAAAATTCAGTGTTTATAAAACAAGAAGCATTCAGACCTAGGATTATCAGTGATCCACAGAACATCTACCACATGGGAAGTGTCAGTGTAAGCTTCCTCCACCAGTGTGCTTCAATGGAAATAGAGAATGTACTCACTATTTTTCAAAATTTTCCTTTCCCCTAACCAATTCATGCAAATGGCACCCAGATATTACAGCAAGGGCCCCTTATAATACATATAATAAATACTCAGTGTTGACATAGTTCTTACCTTAAGACACTTAAGTAAGGAAAGCAGGAGAGGTGCTTGAGAAAGTTTATGTTTCCAAGATGGCTGTCGTCTTATCACATGACCCAGCAGAGAGAGAGTATGTAAACGGGTAGCAGCTTTGCCCATATATTCATTAATTTTGTCCAGTAGGTGCTGAAACCAAATTTGGGGGAGGAGACAGAGGAGTAGAAAATAAAATGAAATGTTACAAAATATTTACAGGAACCTGATGAACAACAGGAAAGGACACCAATCTGTATGTTTGACAAGTTGCTCTTCTCAGTTACAGGAATTACATGTGTTTTACAAGTGTGTCTAGGGAGCCAGACTGAATACAATTCTGTGAGTACAACACAGGGATACAGATTAAGTCTCTCTGTGGTGATACTGACAACAAAATGTTGTTCAAAACAGAATTTGTCATTGTGCTTGGAAACTCATTCTGCTCCAAAGTATTCAGCCATAGCAGAAAAAAAACAGCTGTTAGTTTTGCCAAGTGTTCATTTAAAAATTCCCACATGCCTGCAGAATCCCTGTATATTCTTGTGCAGTTGCACTTTCCCCTCCCTTCAATGGGAAACAAATCTAGTAACAGTAATAAGCAGCTGCTGCCACAAGCTGTAAAGCAATTCATTACAGTAAAAGATATTAAGTATCTGTATGAAAGATCTTCTATGAGCTTTCTAATTTCATCTCGTGATCAACATGTAAAGTTGATGGCAGCCATGGACCCAGTTTAAGTAATCCATGAAACAAAATGAAGTTTTGTGTTTAGGTTTAGTTTTTAAAAAAAACAAAACTCAACCCATTCTTACAACACAGATAAAATGTATCAATTGATTCTACATCAAGGGAAAAGAAGAATTTTAACTGGCCTTCTATTTAGAAGCTTCTCGAATACTAGAGTAACATCTGCCATGCTCCATCTTCTCCAAAAACTAAGTTATTTTACCTTGTCATGAGGCTCTTGCAATGTAGACAGGATCTGCAATGCCTGCTGAGAATTGTTTTCCAAGTAGTAATCTACTAGCATATTCACAAGCATCGGTCCACGGTCTACAGTTTGTTGTCAGCAACAAAAAGGAATAGGACAGGTTATAAACTAAAATGAACAAAAATTTTCTATTGTAAAAGATTAAAATTGCAGAATTGAACAACATTCTTACAAGTGCCTCTAGAAAGTTACCCAGGTTTTTAAAAATGAGACCTCCCAATTATATTCTCCCACCCCCAAGTGTCTCTCTGATTGTCTAGCTTGGTGAGAGAGAGGAAACAGACCTTCCTGAAAACTGACACCAGGATTTCCTGAAGTGTCCCAAACTAAATGATTAGATGTGTGACACTGACTAAACCTTTGTAGAGAGTCTACAGCTAGTGTTCCATGCTGCTGGGTGAAATCTGGCAATCAGCTGGATTCCCTCCTCCGTTCCCCACATGAAGCAAGTTTAGGGGCAAGGGGAGTAATGATGCTGTTCCACACTGAAATGGGTCCACTAATAGCCATAGGAATGCTCTTAGTGGTAGCAGAAAGCATTTGTATAGCAAAATGAAGAATGGCATTTCACAAGGAGAAGGCATTGTTTGAAGTGACTGACGTGGATGAAACACCTTCACTTGTTGGACGTACTTGGTAGGAAGAGAGCATGATATCTACTTAAAACCGGGGTGTGCATGTTTTCTTTAGTACACCACAAAACCCTAGTAACCTTATAAAAGGGTCAAGAAGACCGTCTCAAGGAACCAGGAGTTACAGTTTATCAGACCTTCCAAGAAGTGCCTCTTTTAGCAGGAGGAACATAAGGAGCATTAATCCTTGAAGCGATCACTGCCTCTGACAGAGGGTTTCTTCAAAGTAAGTCACATTTGCAGGAGATAATGAGTAGATTTGATAGGGAACTTCAACTTTTTGCTTATTTCTCTACAAAGCTTCCTCCAACCCTCCAGTTTAACATCTAAGAGGCACATACCAGAGTTGAGGTTATCTTTGAAGACAGCTGTTATATCTTCCTGGACAAGCAGAACTGAAGAATCCAACATAGAGAGGAGCTCACCAATATTTGCTTGCTGGGCCATTCTGTTTACTACTATAGGCTTATGCACGTGTTATATGAATGTGCAAGTTAAAACTTCTTCAGGTTCCTCATTGGTGCCCCTACCACACTGGGAAGACAGAGCAGAGTACAGATAACAGAATATATCTCTCTCATCTCAAAGACCTCATCACTGCTATACTGGTAGCTGCAATATTACCCTTTTTGACAGTTAAATACCAAAAACGTTTGTTAGTGCAGAATTAAGGCTGCCCAGTGATAGCTTGTACCCTTCCAGAACATCGAGTTCAGCAGAACTCGAACTTCTGAAAACCAGGAAATACAGAGTTAAGGTAAATGCTCAGAGAACCTTAACTCTGCCCCACTAGAGCTGGCAACAGCCAATGGGAATTATATGCATGCGCTCCAGCTGTAGTCACAGTGTTAGGTATAGCTGTATTGAATGGTGGAGGAATACACTGTTAGCAACAGGAACACACTGTTGGGAAAGCTGTGATTTAGGAGATCTGGGCCTGAGTCCCCTATGTATATTATCAAAGGAAAGAGGTGCATATGTGCCATGAAGCTCCAGTCTACATTATTTCAATGCAGAACTGTGTAGGTTGTATCAGTGGCAAGGCACTGGGGGTCTCTTTGCCATGGGTACTGCCAGTAGTGAAGTGGGATATGAGAGCAGTCTGGATTTAATGATGGGTACAGGAAAGGATAAGTTTAGGCGGTATCCTGTGTTCAAGTGTGCAGGAGTTCTAAAACAGTATAAAATGGCTGTTAAATTTTTTTAAAGTGTTCTATTGTGTTGGGAGAAGAGGCTCAGTGTTTGAACACAGGGCAAGGACAAATTGCCTTTTCACTGTAAGATGGACTGAATGGAAGTGTGTGTATCATAGCTGTATTGGTGCATCGCTGAAAGAGGGTAAAGTTAAAGTTGTGTTGGCATTTACCATGACTCTATGTTTCCTGGTTTTCACAAGTCTGAGTTTTGCTGAATTTAATTTTCTCAAAGGGCACAAGCTATCCCCAGGAAACATTAACTTTGCATTAACGACATTTTTTGCTATTTAGTTTCCTAGATTTTAAACAGAAAGAGAAACATTTACTGATAGGCGATAGTGGTCATTTAGACAATTTTAGTTCTCACACAGGTTTGCAGATGATATGCTGCTATAACTATGTAATAAATCAAAAGACCCTTGGCTGGTCTATACTGGGAACTTACATCATCATAGCTACATCCCTCATAGGTGTGAAAAATCCAAACCACTGAGAGACATAGCTATGCCAACCTAACCCCAGGTACAGAATTCTACTGTCAACCTAGCGCTATCTTCTGCTGGCTTAACTACCACCACTTTTGGAGGTGGATTAGCTATACTGATAGAAGAGCCTTCCCATTGGCATAGGTCAGTGGTTCCCAAACTAGGGGCGCCACTTGTTCAGGGAAAGCCCCTGGCGGGCCAGGCCGGTTTGTTTACCCGCTGCGTCCGCAGGTTTGGCTGATCGTGGTTCCCACTGACCGCGGTTAGCTGGTCCAGGCCAATGGGGGCTGCGGGAAGGGCGGCCACCATGTCTCTCGGCCCGCACCGCTTCCCACAGCCCCCATTGGCCTGGAGCAGCGAACAGTGGAAACCACGATCGGCCAAACCTGCGGACGCGGCAGGTAAACAAACTGGCCTGGCCCGCCAGGGGCTTTCCCTGAACAAGCAGCACCCCTAGTTTGGGAACCACTGGCATAGGTAGTGTCTACACTGAAGTGCTACAGCAGTGCAGCTGCGCCACTGTAGAGGTTTAAGTGTAGGCATACCCCTAGCTTTTATATACTGCATTTCACCAGAAAATGTCAACTTTACATCATTTTCCCATCTGTAAAATGGGGATACTGAGGCACAGAGGGGTGAAATGACTTGCCAAAGGTCACCCAGCAGGCCAATAGCAGAGCTAGGAATAGTCCCAGTCAAGTGGTCTTTCCATGAAGCCACATAGTTGCTATACGATTCCTCAGTGCTCCTCTCTCATCCTGTATATTCTGTGATAGTGGAATGGGAATAATGATCATGCTTTGAAATATATTCAGTGTCTAGTTGCTAACAGGGCTGATGAGAGAAATCTCATCCATGGTCTGTGTCCCAAAACCTTGACAGTTTTATTATATGGTTGTTAAGGTAACTTTAAGCATTGAGAGAAGACTGACGTCTCTCTTTTTCCTTCTCCACCCCCTGGCCCAACATTCCCCGCAACATGTAGCCCCCCACCAACATTTCCAGCTCCCCTTCCCTTCCCATCCCATTAAGACATTAGTTGACACTGTAGAAGCCATTAATACATAAGAAAAATTGCTCCTTGCTCTCTCCTGCCTTATGCTGCTGCATACATGTATCACAGACAGCAGCTTACTGAAGGGCGGCAAACTGCCTTGGACATGTAGATGAGCTGCACAGAGCTGGGCCCCTCACTCCCATTACCCACTTCCAGTTGGGACTTCTGCTTCAGCCAGTCTTCCCCTCTCAGGCCCCAGACTCACCTAGTCTGCCCTTCCTCCAAACCTAGCGCCTCCCCACCACATTCTGGCCAGCTCCCTCTCACCCCACATGGGTGATGTGTATCTAAACTATTTATTTTCTGGTGTTTTCAGATGTTTAAACGTGTATTACCTTCAGTCCCCCCACCTCATATGGAGGGGCAGGGCGAGGGGCTAAGACTCCTGCAGGGCAGAGGTCCCCTACATCCTAGAGTACACATACAGAAGAGGAGAATTCAGGGCTGACTGCCCCCCAACCCCCAATTCCTCTGCCACTCCTTATTTTCCAACCTATCCCTAATCCCTACTTCTTCCCCCTTAACCTGAGCTCTCCCCAACTCCTCATTTCCATTTATTCTTCTCCCCAAAATACGCCCATCCCTCACTTCTCCTTTCCCCGACCACCACCTACTCTTTTGCCCCTCCCCTTCCAGTGAGAATTCTCACATGTAATTTATTTTCTATTCAAAAAATAGTTTCACACCTTCTGAATATTCTGCTGTACTCAGCTAACATTTCTCCTATTAAAAACCTTGACAGACACAGATTTTTCTAAGCTGTTTACAGCTCATTCTCAGTGGGACATTACACTCCATATTCTTTATGAAAATATGCTTATGATATGGATATGACATAACTAAGATATGTTTTATGCAAGATGGCTCATGTAAGATATCACTGGAAATGTTATGACTTACTGAATGTGATTATCCAATTTGTATGCATGTATCATTTCTGTATCTAAAGTTAGGAATATGGACTATGTAACAATTACTGGGTGTGTATTTCAAAGACACCCACCAGACAACAGGCCATCAAATTTGATGGGCCATTAGGAGGAAGGCATACTGGGACTTAGCTGTGACAATACTAGGTCAGGTGGTCTTGTCACCTAATACTAAAGACTAAACATTATCTTGGACTTCTTGTAACTTTCCACTGGTGGGGGGGGAGGGGGAGAGGAGGAAGGGGGCAAGCTTGGGAAACAAAAGATTCCCGCCTTATGTAAATCTTATTTAAGGGTGGGTAGGAAGGCAAACTGGACTCTCTTCCATTGCCTACCCAAGAGGAAGGACTGTTGAAAGAACCTGAAGGGACAAAGGAACTAACTTGAAGGGAAAGGCAGGGGTGAGTCCAGACTGAGACAAAGTTCCAGTCTATAAGAAGAAATATCTGGAACTCTGAGCTGTAGAAACTCCTCATCCTGCCTAATTCAACATTCAGGGAGAAATTACATTTTGTAACCCCTTTCTTCAGTGAATCAAGCTTAGTTTGCGTGTTTTGTTTTATTTGCTTAGTAATCTTCTTTGTTCTGTTTACTATTCCTTTAACCATTTAAAATCTGCCTTTTATACTTGATAAATTTGTTTGGTTTATTATTAAACCCAGTTTGCGCAATTTCTAACTGCGGAGTGCAAGAAGTTATGCATATCTTCCTCCACAGTGAGGGAGGGGGCAAATTTGTGAGCTTACATTGTATATATTTCTCTACAGCACAAGACGGTATTATTTTGGGTTTATTCCTCAAAAGGGGTGTACCCGTGAGTGCTGGGAGAATCCTCTCACACAGAGCTGACTTCAATCTGTGTCTGCAGCGGGGTGTGGCCCTGCCTATGTGTGTACTAGAGGAGGCTTAAAATAGCCCGGCTCAGCAAGACAGGTTAAAGGGGACCTATGCTGGCAGAACAGGTGGACTCAGTGGGATCTCAGCACATCAAACGGCACCTTGAAAGGGGGCAACCCGTCACACTCAGATTTCTGCCCAGAGTGGGTTTCAAACTTAAGCCATGTCTACACATACAGCACTACAACTGCATCACTGCAGTGCGTCTGATGAAGACTCTTTATGCCGATGGGAGAGAGCTCTCCCATTGGTATAAAAAAACCCACCCCCACAAACAAACTGTCAGCAGGAGAAGCTCTCCTGCCAGCATAACACTGTGCACATTAGCGCTCATGTCAGCATAACTTAGGTCACTCAGAGGGTGGAACAGTCACACCCCTGAGTGATGTAAGTTTTGCCAACATAGGCAGTAGCATAGACATAGCCTTAGTTGTAGGCTCAGAGATATTAACTGGCCCATTCTTTCAGCTGAGAACCTCTCATTGAGACGAGAGTACCTAATGGAAATGAATACAGCCTGAAACAATAACTCTGACAGAGAGCTGCTCCATTCACATCAGTAAGCATTCCTTTTCTACCTTTCCCACTGCTGGAGAGTTCCAGATGTGTGCCAAGCATACCCACTCTCAGTTCCTTACCGCAGCCTCAGCAGCGTGTTCTTGGTGCATGCTCTGAGCATGTCTGTTCTAAGCTCCCCACCCAGAGATGGAGGGCTTCCCCAGATACTGGCTCACAGGGGAGGTATGGAGAGGAGCTAAGACACTCCCACAAAGGCAGCCCCCCCCCCAACCCCGAACCTGGCTCACATGCAGGGGAGCAGAGATAGGATCAGCCCCCACATAGACGGGATGGGGCCCCCAGATCCTGGCATACACACAGGGAGAGGGTCAGAGAGGGGGGCTCAGACAACCCCAGAGGGCATGGACCTCTAGATCCTAGCTCACATAAGGGGAAGGGAGTGGGGCTCAGA